GACGAAGCTGCCTGCTGCACCCTATGCAGACAGCTGTACACTAGTGCACTATGATAACGATGTGACCCCTGGGTTTCATTACTACGAAGCTGATGGCACTGCCTTGAACATCTATGACATCACAGGATCCACACACTCACGCATCATCCAGTGTCTTAAATCCAGGAAGCCGTCTGCTGGGTTTGACCAAGATCTCACTAAGTTTGAGGAACTCGCTGATGGTCCACCACCAAGCGAATCACCTCCAGCAGCTGCTCCTGAGGAGCCTCCTACGGACAACGATGGTCGGCTCCCGACCATCATAGAGGAGACAGAAGAAGATCTGGATGCTTTTGTCTTGAAGTCGTGGTATGCTGAACTGATGGATGACAGAACACTCCTTGAAGCTGACACAGAGGAAGTCATGCATACAGTTCCTACATACATGACAGACACACAGTGTGTATTAGTCTCTACGACCTGTGAAGATGTGCAAGGCCACTTGCCGGAGCGGGGTCACCCGCCAGGATACGACATGGACACTTCTTACTACGTTCCTTTATGCTCCACGGAACCGGATAGCAAATATGATCTGGACTCCGATGAGCACGGGAAGTATATCGAGCTCTGCTTCACTGCAGACATGTCCAAAGTCGTCCTGTCCGAGCAGCAACACCGACTGTTGGATGACAGCAGCGTCACAACTATGCGAGTATACGTTAGCGCTGCCTCCAAACGTGCCGTGGTCGTCAAGGAAGACGATCTACTCACGAAGGCCGACATCCAAGCAAATCCGGTCAAAGTTTCCAAAGCCCTCTACACAGAACTGAAGACTTGGCTTGACAACAAATGCTTCCAGATGACTGACTTAAGCAAGGCGTCTAACATCATGACGTCACGCTACGTATACAAATGGAAGTTTGTCAAGAACGAAAAGGGCGAAATGGAAAGGACGATCCGGTTACGCTTGGTACTCCGTGGCTTCATGGACCTCGAAGCCTTTGATGTCGAAACCTTCTCTGGCACGGCAAGGAGGTCAAGCCAGAGACTGCTCGCAAGTTCTGCTGCATGCAACAAAGCTTGGATCATCGCTTCCCTGGACATCAACATGGCTTTCTTGAAGGGACTGACCTATGGCGAGCTCGCCGCGGCAACGGGCGAGAAAGAACGTGTGGTGTGTTTCACACTACCACCTGGGTCAGCAGCTGTCCTTCGCACACTGCCAGGCTTTGAGTCATATGACGAATCAAAGCATTGTCTCCGGTGTCTGAAACCGGGGACAGGCACGAAGGATGCTCCCAGGGCATTCTCGCTGAAGCTCAGGTCCATCACTGGGAGCTTTGGGCTACAGCCTACTTCATACGACGAAGAATTCGAGATGAGCCCAAACCTATTGACAGCCAAGCACGTTGATGACATCAATATGACTGGGAAGGAAGAGGCTATCGACAAGTATGTCAAGTGTGTTGAAGATACGTTTGGGAAGTGCAAACTGAACAAGCACACATACACGAACTGTGCTGTTCGGTACAACAAGACCGATGATGGGAGCGTCACTCTCGACCAGGACGAATACATCAAACAGCTTCGTCCTATCACACATCCAGAACTCACAGGAGCTGATCCTGAAAGCAAGGCGACGAAGACAATTTCTGATATGTTCGTTAGTCTTCGTGGCGCTCTAGCCTATGCGTTGATCACGCAGGTATGGCTAATGGTCTATGTTGTCTCACTACAACGTATCCAAGAACCGACAAACATCCAGGTACGACGACTAAACGCGGTTACCAGAAAATTGCAGGCAGGTCCGAAGAAGATCGTGTATCATGCTATGACTCCAACAGGAGAAGTCGACCTGCATAGCGATTCTGGCTATCGTCGTCTCAACGGAGATGAAGACGACGAAGTCAAAGGCTATGGTATCCGCGGGGCTAACCTGCTGAGGCGTGGCCACACGCAAGCGGGGAAACCCGTCGTGCACCTGGTGGACGCATACTGCAAGTCTCATCGACTGCAAGTGCGTTCGAGCTACTCTGCGGAAACACTGGCAGCAGCCCACAACTTGGAAGACTGCTACCCGACCATTGTAACGCTCCACGAGCTACACTCGGGACCATTGACCCCCACACAGCTGAAGAACATATTGGAAATGGGAGGTCTATGTATCAAAGTCACTCTGACTATTGATGCCGAGTCTGTCTTCAAATCTTTGTCTAGCAAGGATCTGAAGAAGCCCACAGAGTGTACTCTGCTTGGGCACATCAGCTGGATTCGCCAGATGATGGAACGTGGAATCGTGGAAAGCGTCCAATGGTGTGACACGCGGGATATGACTGCCGATGGTCATACCAAAGGTAGCATTGACCGCGCGTTGCTCCTACAAGTAATGGCCGGCCAGCAATCCTTCAAGCACGAGCTGAAGAAACATACACCGTATAGGGCGGGCAGGTCGTCTCAGGACGGCCCTGCCTCCCGAGCCAGCGGGGAAACCCGCGGGCAGGTGCGCTTTAGCAGCGAGGAAACTCGCCGGTAGCGAGGCTACTCGCGCGCCCCTTTCCTTGTAGGCAGCCGCTGCTGCTTAGCACTGTTTTTCCGCATAATAGTAGTGCGGTACCTGCTCGTCTCCTCCCCCTCCGACTTTAAACGGAGAAGGTTAAAGGCGAGATATAAATCGAGCATGTACCGCTGCCGTGCCTGGCTCAAGCCGGGCCCGGCCTAATATGTGACTGTGCCTCACCGAGGCGCACTACTTGCATCAGAGATCGGAAAATCCCTTTTCCATTGACGATGCCCATCCTACTCTTTACTCCAGATCCCATGCTTCGTCTCGCTCTCTTGCTCATGCGATATGAGCCAAAGCCTGGGATATGGGAGCGCCTAAGGCGGACTACATACCTAAGCTTACCAGCTTGTTTTCGACTCCTTGGGCATCTTGGAGGCCACGGAATGTGAATTTAGAGGCTTCTGAGGCAGGAGGGGTGCGTTTAGGAGCCCAGGGACAGCCCCCTCCTCTTACACGCGATGTTGGGCCCCGGGGGAGGGAGAACGGGAAAGGGGGACAGCCAAATGTCTCACACGCCTTGTCACCCTCGGCAAGGGAGTATCGGAGGATTAGTGTACGTAGTTCCGTATAGGAGCGCCAAACTACAACAGTGTAGGTGGCTTAACGCACTTCAGTGCCGTCAACCTTTGTTACGACGTTTTAGCCGGAAATGTCAGGATTCGACTTGTTTCATTGCTTTCGACCTTTGGGGCCCGCAATCGGCGCCCAGGAAAATTACATGTATATTCGGGACGACAAACTACCCACGGGGAAGGAGTCGGGACCTCAGGGGCCGCGCTGTGCGCAACTCACATCTTCGGATGCCTGGGTTCGAGATGTCGTCGGTTCCTGGGTCATCTTCGAGGCGCTGCGTGCCTTCCAGCAGCTGCTCCTCGCCGAGAGCTTCCTAGGGGTTGCCCGAATCGTCCCGATCAGGCGCCGAAGATCCGTCTTAGACCCAGAAGCCAGACCTCGCGTCGCGAAAACAAATGGCGGGATGAGAGCCTTCCCCAGGCCCCAGGACAGTCAAAACGAGTCGATACGAAAGCTGGTCTCATGGGGGAAGCCCGTTGCAGTCCAGGGCCCGCTTCCAACAGGACGAAACGACACCACCACAAGCGGGCCCCCCCCAGCGATAAGGTCGCATGATGCCTTCGTAATCTAGAACGTCGAGAGATCTCGAGCGGGACACCGTCAACCAGGGGAATATCACACCACCATGGGGGACCCTGCCCTGGCTCTTGTTTTCGTGCTCAGTACCAGACATCCGAAGATGTGACTTTCATTGCGCGGCCCCAGAGCTCCCGATCCACTCCCTGGGAGTAGTCTTCCCTCCTGCATTCATATTTGATGGTCCTGGAGCCTGGTAGCGTGCCCTTTTCGAAACCGAAGCAACATGCCGCGATTGGAACACGCACGTCCGAGATCTGGGAACTCAGATCCTTCGCGCTGTGATTTTTTGTGACGTGGGCCCCTAGCGCTCTGGATCCCTTCCTGGGGGCCAGCTTCTCACCTCGAGCGCTTCCTGAGAGTTCATGGGGCCAGGTGAAGGCCCCCCCCAAGAGGCCGACAGCTGCTGGGAGCCTCCGGCGGGCTCGGGCCGCGCGAAAGAGGGGGACAGGGAAAGGAGGGGGTACGAAATCTGCTGCATGCAGCTGGTTTCGGCCCCGCCGCTGGGCCCATTCCTCGACACATGGGCGCCTCCCGGCGCCGGGAGGCGCCGGGAAAATCAGCTACGTGAGCTGATTCTCAAACCCCCCCTTTGCTATCCCCCCCCTTTCGCCCAGCCCGATGGGCCCAGGCAGCGGCATGGCAGTTTTTTTTCGCGTTCCGTGTTTTGTCGGAGGTTGATCGACCTCCTACTTTGACACGTCGAATAGCGAATTGGTCGTTTTCGGTTCGCGAGAGGGCGCCGCGGCCGTCGTTTTTGCGGGTCCAGGTCTGTCGGTTTCGGTTTTAGGCAGTGTTCACTAAAGGGGGGTTTACTAAAGGGAGGTTTGTCCACCGCCGAGTTTGTTGACAGCAAGAAGATGCAACACAAATACGGTTCACCGAAACGGCCTGGCGTGGCAGCCAGGGGATCCGAAGGACGTCCCGAACCGGTTTGAGAACGGCTCGGATTTGACAAAAAATGGTAACGGTAGTCTGGACCAAGCCCTCACCAGGGGAACCGAAAACGGTACAACAATGGCGCCAGAAATGTGAAAAAAAACGATGCCATAATCGGTAAAACACGAATAAAACTATTCAAAGACAGTGCCCTGTCGTTCCCATGGCCGTTGGGACCTGGGAAGTTGTGCGCAGGAACCTGAATCCTGGCAGCATTCTGCTGCAGAGCGGGAACCCCTTCCCAGGGACTAGCTTTTCCTCCCGAGTCGTTGTTTGATGGTCCAGAGGCCCTGTAAAGGCCCCTCGATACCACACATAACGAAACATTGACGGCGCGATCTCGTCACGGTGCGAGGGTTTTTTTGTTCAGGTGTGCACAGGAACCTGAATCCCGGCAGCATCTTGCTGCAGAACGGGGACCAGAACGTCGTGCTCACCGATTTCGGCATCTCCGAGCTGCTCGCGGAGGCCGCGAGCAGCAGGCGGACTCGGTAGCAACTCGTCGGGGCCTGGTGTGTCCTCGAAGTTCAGTTTTGGGACTGCACAGGTGTGCACCAGCGTCTGGTATTCGATGGGAGAGGAGTGCCGACATCAGGGGAACGAAGACTGATATAAACATCAAAACTCAGAGGTCCGCGCAGATTTCTCGGATCGGCGCTGGGGCCCCCTTGGCGGCGCCTCCGGCGCCGCCCCTTGCGCGCTTGGGGGGCCCCAGCGCCGAACCAAGAAATCCGCGCGGACCTCCGAGCTTTATGTTTATGTTATTGTTTGTTTTCCTAGCATCGATCAGCGTCGGCTGAGTGGCGTCAACTCACAAGAGCCAGCACGACCACACGAGGGGCTCCCATGAGTTTTGCCGCAGCAAGGCGCGCGGCGGCTTACATGTCCCCCGAGCTGCTGCGCAACGAGCCGCACGGCCCCTGGGACGACATGTGGGCCCTGGGCTGCACGCTGTACGAGCTGTGCGCGCTCGTCCCGCCCTTCGAGGCCCTCGCGACGGGAGTTTTTCTACGGGAACGAGCAATGACATAAACAAAAAATTCGGAGGTCCGCGCGGATTTCTCGGATCGGCGCTGGACCCCTGGCGGCGCCTCCGGCGCCGCCCGGTCCAGCGCGGATCCAAGACATCCGCGCGGACCTCGGAGTTTTTGTTATGTTTATGCCGTTTCTCGGTTCCCTTTCGCGACGGGAGGTTGCCCCTCCCCCTTGAACTGCCCAGAGACGCCCGTGCTGAAACGCAACTCATGCTGTGTTCAAAACCCCCGTGTCACCACGCTGCGCGTTGGCTAGGCACGTGGTGGCACACGTCTTGGAGAACGCATCGCGACAGACCCACGTTTTCAGTCAATGGGTTGAGCTCCGTGTCAGCACGCTACGTGCTGCGTGCTGCGTATCGGGGCAGCTAAGGCTTTCCCCAGTTTCGGCCTCTGGGGGGACCTCACCCGGCCCCGCCGCGGGACCGTCGAACAGCGACTGGGGACGAAAAGCTTGTCGCTGGTGAGGGGTCATGGGGTCCAGATCTTTTGGGTTCGACGTCGCGGACAATCACGACGCTGGGGGTTGGGGATGAAACGGTACCGATGCCGCTGCTCGTTCTGGAGAGCCCTTGCCGCCACGGTTGGTTTCTCCTTTGCATTCCTAGTCAGAGAGCATCCCGGGAGAGATTTGGGTGGCAGCGGTATAGGTGTACTTATTCGGCCTCCCAAGGGGCGGCAGATATTCCATTTAGTTTCGGAGGCCCGCACGCATCTCTTGGATCGGCGCTGGGTCCCCGCTGGCTCCGCGCGTCAGGGGAGGGGGGTCCAGCGCCGATCGAACTCAGGGGCGGAGACGAGGGACCCACAGCCGCTGGGCCGAGGGAACCGCTCGCGGCGCCCTCCCATGGCCGACCCCGACCAGCCAGCGGTGCTGACCTGCGCGCGGCACTCGAAATCGGGCGCCGCGCGCAGGTCATCACCGCTAGTGGATTGGGATCGGCCCTGGGAGGGCGCCATGGGCGGATCTTTCAGCCCATCCGCTGTAGGGTTATAGCTGTCCTGCTTTCGCTCCGGATGAAGACATGTAAGCCAGCGTGGGCCACAAACAGTGTTTCTAGCAGCACATGCTGTGCAATCTATGTGCAGCAATCACCGCAATGTGCACTGTAATTTACTGTGTGCTCCCCACTGAGTGCTTGCACTTAGGTGTTCTGACGTCTCTTCTAAGGAGCTCGCCCTGGATGGCGGTCTGGCGGCTATGTGGCCGCCGTCGCTGCCTCGTCGCCGCCTCATCGCTGCCCGTCGTCTGGCCCTGAATGGCGGTCTGGCGGCTGCGTGGCCGCCGTCGCCACCTCGTCGCCGCCCGTCGTCTGGCCCTGAATGGGTCCTGGCGGCTATGTTGCTGCTGCCATCGCAGCCCCGTCGCCGCCTCGTTGCCGCCCGACCGGAGGCGCCGCCCGTGCTGGGCCTGGCCATCCGCAGAAGGGGCCCCCTTTTCGCGCCCTGTTCGCCGCCCGCCCGACCGGAGGCGCCGCCCCCGCTGGGCCTGGCCATCCGCAGAAAAGGGCCCCTTTCGCGCCCTGTTCGCCGCCCGCCCGACCGGAGGCGCCCTCCCTGCTGGACCTGGCCATCCGCATCATCGAGGGGGATCCGGACTGGTCCGCCTGGGAGGGCCCCGCGCCGCTGCAGGCCACCGCGCGGCGCCTGCTCGCGAGGCGCCCCGCCGAGCGGCCCAGCGCCGCCGCGCTGCTCGCCGAGGACGGCCGCGCGCAAGAGCCGCGGGCGAGGCGTGTGCCGTCGGAGCGAGGTCGGGTGCGGGGAGGGTGCCCCCAGCTCGGGGGTGGACGGACCTCCCACCCCGACGCGCCGATGCGCGAAATTGGCAGTGGTCGGGTCGCGAGGGGGCGCCGCGGCCGTCACTTTTGCGCTTCGGCCCCGGGCTGTTTTCACCAAACGGTGTTTTGCCAAAGGGAGGTCTGTCCACCGCCGACTAGCGTCATCGAGGATCAAAGAACCCCTAATCCTGGACGTGGCCTCACTGAGGGCTCCGTCCTTGCATTCGGGATAATCTATCTTTGGGCCGTCTGTTTCGACACGTCTGCAAGAAACAACCCTATCCCTAATGTTTCCGACCCTTCCAACCTAGGTCGTCTCCCAAAGGGTTAGGGGTCCCTTGTGCCTAATGATCGTGTTTTCCGTATTTGGTGGATGTTCTTGTGCACCCTGGGGTGGGCGCTTTTGGATGTTTTGATTGTGTTTTGGCCGAACAGGAGGATCTCATGATTTTGAGGGATGTTTTTGTGGCCTGGATCCGACTGTCTGATCATCCAGTGCGTCTTGGATGTTATTGGATGGAGCTCCACGATGCCGAGGCGCACTGGATATGGATAAACATCGAGCCTCTATGGGCTATATTTCCATCCATATCCAGTGCGCCTCGGGTTTCAGGGGAAGGGAGCCCAGAACTCCAAGCTGCAAGGGATATGGGCGCAAGTCTTGCCCGCAGGAGTGACCCTTTCGCCAGATGGAACTCACGAAAGATTTCGCTCATTAGATCTTCCCGGACCCCTCTGGACCAAGCAAAGAGCCTTGCGGACGGTGTGTCATAGGTTGCGGCCTCTGGGGGCCTTCGCCGGGCCCTGGGACCGTCAACAGGATTCTCAGGACGAAAAACCGGTCCCAGTGAATTAGTCGAGACCTTTGGGAGTCGACGTTGCGACAAATTCACGACGTCGGGGGTCTGGGTTAGCTGCTCTGGTGCGCCCGTTTGAAACGCAACACGGGCCACGTCCAAAACGTCCGTGTCCAGACCTTGCGTGTTGGCTCGGCACGTATGGGCCCACGTGTTGGCGAACGCGTCGCGCCAGACCTACGTGTTCAATCTCCGCGCCGAGCTCCGCGTCAACACGCTACGGGTTGCGTGTTGCTTCTCGGGGTGGCTCGGTTCGCTGAATGCGAAGCCGCCGAGGCTTTCGCTCGTCTTGGATGACATTTGTATCGACAAGTAGCGACAAATGGCGCCAAATGGCGCCCAATAGCGCCCAGTAGCGCCGCATAGCGGTCGAATAGCGCCCACTGAGCGCCCTGTAGCGCCGAGTAGCATTCAAATAGCGCCCACTAGCGACCAGTACCGCACAATAGCGCCATGTGAAGGACACGCATTGTGTCCACCTTGCGCGCGATTAAGCGCGCTATTGGGCGCCATGGGGACGGCCAAAAGCTTCCCTGGGTTGCTGTCTAACCTTCGCCGGAGTGACTTTTGGTGTGGGCTCACTGACGTCCCCCGATCGTTCGTCATGGAGGAATCGGGTCCTGAGGGAAGCGGGTCCTGAGATTGTTCATTGCTTGTTGCCTTCCGGGGCCCTCCACGGGTCCCGGGACTGTCAGGAAATGACCCAGGATGCGAAACTGGTCCTGGAGGAAGCCTCAGGGTCGAGGACTCGTTTCCCACGGGACCTGTTTCCTTCATGCTGCATCGCCGAACGCGACCCGATGGCAGCGGCGCTGGTTTCCCACGCGTCCTCAGGCCGAGCACCACATGTCACCCTTGCTTATTTGGGTGACCGCGGTGGTTGCTGAAGGGACACGGGGCTATAAGTGGATGCGACTGTGGGTTTTATCCGCATCTCTAGCCAAACCTAGTTGGTAAGTGTGGCCTCGAAGGGTTTTTGTCACTCCAGTGAGCGGGCTCCGCCCACTGAGCCGATTAAGGGCATTTGCAACCGACTCGTGAGCTAGGTTTGGCCGAACATAACTTACGTTAGACCCCTTATTTCCTTAGCACGCCATGCTTTCATCCAAGTGCAGGAAACAACACAAGTTAGCCAGCGTGGACCGCGAACCATATGTTATTCATTTCTGGAAGCGCAATCTTTGTGGGGCAACCAGGAAGTGCAAGCTATGTGGTGCAAGCCTTGCGGTGCAAGCCATTCGATGCAAGGTATGCGGTGCAATCTACATGGTGCAATCTGCGTGGTCCAAGCTGTTTGGTCCACGCTATGTGGTGCAAGCTATGTGGAGCAAGCTATCTAACACCCCACAGTTGGGGATACGAGTGAGGGGGCGGCGGGGACGTCGGCAGTGTATGAGGCTCTGAAGAGTCCCGCCGCAGGTGGTTACTTTCTACAAATTATAAAACGAGCCCGCCGCAGGCGCCGATGCTTTAGTTACAGCAATTTGGGTGGTTCGCGGGTGGGGCGACGACAACAACACACAACAATTACTAAACAACAAACAACAAGCAAGGCAAAACCATTCCGCACCGCGGAACCTCACTTCAGCCAAGCGCCCAATAACAGTGAATGAGTGTTCGGTCTCCTCACTCTGGTGTAGTGCAGTCTGCATGGTCTAAGCTATATGGTGCGAGCTATGTGGCGTGAGATATTTGGTGCAAGCTAGGTTTTGCAACCTATGTGGTGCAAACTGGTTTATGCTATGTGGTGCAAGTTATGCGGTGTACCCTATCTTGTGGAATCTATGCGGTGCAACTCATTTTGACCGTCTTGAAGCTGTCCTCTCCACTGCTCCTGCAAACATCCCACCCTCCCACCCGCCACTTGGTCGCAAGACCTCTGAAGGCAAGACCGTGACGGTAGGTACCACATGGCATTTGGCCACGACACCGACGCCGACGACGACAGCGACAACGACGGCGCCGCCGACACCGACTACGACGACACCGACGACGTCTCCAACGACTTCGACGACGACAACGACGACGACGACGACGACACCGACGACGACGATGACGACGACGACGATGACGGCGACGACGCCGACGACGACGACGAAGACAATGACGACGACGACGACGACAACGACGTCGCCAACGAAGACGACGACGAGGAGGAGGGAGGATGACGACGGCGAAAACGACGACAACGACGACAACGACGAGGGAGGAGGGAGGACGGCGACGACGCGAACGACGAAGAAGGAGGAAGGACGGCGACGCCGACGACGGCAACGACGAGGGAGGAGGGAAGACGACGAAAACAACGACGACGACGACGGCGACGAAAGAGGAGGGACGACGACGAGACGCCGACGACGGACGACGACGACGACGAGGGAGGAGGAGGAATGACGACCACGGCGACAACGACGACGGAAACGACCACGACGCCAAAGAGGACGACGACGACGACGAACACGAGGAAAGACAGAGAACGACGTAGGCGACGACGACGACGCGGGAGAAGGGAGGACGGCGACGACGACGACGACGACGCAAGAGCGCGCGCGCACGCTTTTGTTGAAAATCCGTGTTGCGAAACCTTGTGTTTTTGTAGGTTTTTTGGACACACGATTTTGAAATCCTTCCGAAACCGATGGGTTTTGAAGGATTTCGGTATACGCGCGCGACAACGCGCGCGTCTGCACTTCATTTCATTTTTTGCAAAAGATTCTCGCGACGACACACGCGCAAGAGCGATCGACAGATTTCGACATGCGCGCGCGAAGCCCGTTTGGTAGCATTTTGTGAACATCTTGAAAAACCCATGGCTTTCTTAAGATTTCGCAAGAGCTCGCGCGTAAGCTTTTTCAGCAAATCAGTGCTGCGAAACCATGTGTTTTTGCATTGTTCTGGAAACTCGATTGCGAAATCCTTCCATCACCGAAGGTTTTTGAAGGATTTCGGCATGCGCGCGCGACGACGCGCGCGTGTGCACTGCGTCCAGTTTTTTGCAAGGGATACCTGGAAAAGTGCTATGTTGGAGCAAAATACGTCCCCGCGTATCGTTTTTACGAGGGAACCTCAGGGGGGTCGATACCGGTTCCCCTGGGATAATGTAAATTCATATTTAGGATGGACATGTGGTCATAATCGTACATGATTTACATACCCGAAAGGGGGGGGATAACGCCGGGAGGGGGGTAGAGTCTACTCCGTTTTCAGAAAGGAGAATTTTCGCGGCGCATGCTATTTGGTGTAGGCTATGTGATACAAGTTACGTGGTATGAGCGATGCGGTGTAGACTACTTGGTGCGGCGACAGGCCCGCTGGCGGGCCTCTTATTGGGATCTAACAGGGGGCGACGGACGGGAACGAAACCGCAGGGCCAGCAGACGGGCCCAGCTCCGTAGAAGACACGCAGGAACCCATAAGGACAAGCACGGCTTGGGGAACGATCCCTCGCAGGAGTGACCTTTCGTGCGGGACCGCTGGGGTGCACCGATCGCCGAGTGCGATGCCATGGCAGCGGCTCGCGCACTTGGGTTTGGCTCCCCCACTCCCCCCTAAGGGTGGACTTCAATTTGGTCCGCTTTGGTTTCGTCGTCTTCCGATTCGCCCTCGTTCGTTTCGTCCTGTTTCGTTTCGTCCTCTCCTGAGGACTGGACGAATCGAAGCCAGACGAGCCGAAGAGGACGAATCGAAGCGGACGAATCGAAGCGGGCGAATCGAGGCGGACGAAATGAGGTTCACTGAATGCGATTTGGACGACTTGCAGCGGCATCCCCCCCAAGGCCAAATACCAAAGATCACTCTTGCCTGGGGCCGCTCTTGCGCGCGACTGTCGAGGACGCCGCCGCCGCCACCGCGGCCGTGCGGCGGCGGGCGCGTGCGCCGGCACAGGTCGGGGCAGCAGTCCCCCCGAGGGAGGGGGCAGCAAGTCGATTCGGCAAGGCTAGAGGCGGCCAGCTGATCTCGGTCAGGCTAAACTCGGCCAGGCTGAGCTCGGCAAGGCTGAACTCGGCCAGGCTGAACTCGGCCAAGCTCAGCACGAACGACATGGGCACAAAGACCGACAGGAGTTCCGGCGCATTTTGAACAGGTCAAGGTGTCGGTGTCGCCCAGGCGTTTTCCATTCAAGACAGCAGGCCGCCTGCCCAACAGCGGCAGCTGTTGAGTTTGGACAACATTAGTGGTTAGGCATCGTGCCCCATTTTTCCCTCACTGATTTCGGGCATCAGAAATCCATGCTTTCAGCCTCAAAGGGTCCTTACCAGGCCTCGGGACCGCGGTAACGCATCTTGAGATGAAAAGCCGGTGCGTCGGAAGGGGTCCAGGTCCAGACCTGTTGGGTGTCGACGTCATGACAAGTCACGACGCTGGGGATCTGGGGAGGAAAAGCTATCGATACCGCTACTCGTCCTGGCGAGTCCTCGTCGCCACGGCCGGATTCTCCCGGAGTCCTGGTCAGGACGCGGCCCGAGAGAGATTTGGGGATTGGCGGTATCTGTATCGTTTTCCCCCCAGCACAGACGACAAACTTAGTCTGAAGCGCCCGTCTAGCACAGACACGGGTTTGCAAACGCACAAGTGGGCTCGTGTATTTGGTCCCCGCCTACCTCGAATTCTTTGGCAGCCCAGTGTGAAGTGCGCCAAGCCCAGCTCTACGCACCCTCTAACGTGCGCCGCAGAGCCGGCTTCAAAGCACCTCAAACGGAAAAACGGCCGAATAGAGATCATGACCCGAGGGCGTTTCGGACAGGTTAGGGTTTCGACGGGGGCTTGCAGGTCCCATCCGATCTGTCCGATCTGAATAGTTACCGATCCCCAACGGCCCAATCCGATTCGATTCCGATATTCCCACGATGCGATGTGGCCCGTCGCTGGCATGGCGCTGATGTGCATCCTGGGGCAGCCGATACGATCCGATTCTCCCTTCGTGCCGATGTAGCCCGAACCGATGCACGTTCCGATTCGATCTGACTTCCCGATTCGATGCTGACCGCTCCTGGTTCCCAGACCCCCGACGTCGTGATTTTTTCGTGGCGTGGACCCCCAGAGGGCTGGACCTCTTCCCGAGGGGCTTCTCCTCCCGAGTGGCTCCTTCACGATCCCGGGGCCCTGGAGTCCGGATACCGCCGCAGACCTGCGGGAGGCCCCCAGCAGTCTTTGGCCTCGCGCCGTGGAGAAATCACGGCGCGGGGGCCCGCCGCAGCGTTTCTTCTTTTTGTTGTTGCGCGCCGCGAGGGGGTGTTTGGGCCAGGGCGATGAGATCTGTACCCACATCCGCTGCTCCTGGCCACGCCCACTCTCTCGGCCCGGGAGCAGTGCAGGTGCCTCCCTGGCCAAGCCAGGAGGGCGCAGACTCGTCGGTCGTTGACAGCAGGTATTCTTTTATCCCCTGATACCGATCGACGCCCGGCGCCGTCCTACTACTTCAGGGACCGAGTGGGCCCCCCCTTGTTCTTCCTCTACCCATGAGGGAAAGAAACACACAGACACAATTAATCGTCGACTCCCAGGAAAATATGGGAAAACATAGGAAGTGGGGGGGAAGACGAACCCCCAGAAAATATTGGAACATATGGGGAATCCTGTTATTTGTGTCTATTTATTTGCGTGTCCCAGGGCCCCTTCATCTTCAAGGGGCGGGCGGAGGGCCCAATCCACTTCCAAGGCCTTCCTAGACTCCATGTTTCTATACCCACTTCGATCTTTCTGCCGATGAGCACAGTCAGCCCGCATAGGGAGGATGGGCCCACCTTCCCAAGGGTACCCTTGCATCCTTGCTTCCTGGGTCCCTCCTTCGCCACTTCCGTTGGCCGCGCACCGCTTCAAAAGCTTCGAAATGGGTATCCGAGGCCCCTGCATCCTCATCGCGCATCCTTTCTGCTACGGGCTGACTGTGCACCGCTCCTGGGCCCAGGATGGGCCTGGCCAGGAGCCGGTGCTTTGTGCACAGCTCTCGTCGCCCCGGAGGGCCGCGCCCGTGCGTCGAGCGCAGGCGTGGGCCGAGACGCCCGGCGCCCCGGGCCAGGCCGCGCCCTCGCCCCGGGCCCTGCGCGAGGCGACTGGCGGGAAGGCCCGGCGGCGAGCCCAGGGGGGGAGGTTCGACGACACGTACGTCCAGAGAAAGAGTGGTGCTTCGTCGGAGTGACCTTTGGTGCGGGCCCGCTGGGGTCCTCTGACCGCCGAACGCGATGCGGTAGCGTTTGGTTTGGCCACCCCGCGCCGCCAGTTCAGCCGCGCACCAGAGGTCACTCTTGCCTAGGGTCACTCGTGCGGGTGGCCGAGAGGTCCCCTGACCATTCAAGAGGGGGCAGCGCCAGGACGTCAGCGTCCAAATTCCAGTCGAGGTTCGAAGCTGTCCAGATAGGTTTGTAGGTCTGGAGTGCTATGTTCTAGCACTCTGGGGAAGGTCAGGCTCGGGGGGGGACGGGCCTGCTCAAGCAGGCTCGAAAGGCCTCCGGCCCCCCGAGCTAGGATTCGGGCTAATGGTCGCCATGGGGGAGGTGGATCCTGAGGACAACGGGTCCTGAGGCGATTCGCCGTTTTCGGGGTCTCGCAAGGCCCTCCATGGGCATCGGGACTGTCAGAACACGGCTCAAGATGAAGATCCCCGTTTCCTTCAGGACCCGATTTCCTCGTGTTAAGTTTTGCACATGAGGTGATAACAGGCTGGCAATAGCTCGTGCAATCGTTCATGCGGGACGCTCACGGCGTGCAACATCGGCACGTTGATGCCACACGCCGTGAGCCACAGGATGAATTGCTGCATTCCCCTTCGCGACCCGATGACGAGAGATTCCTTCTGCTCGGGACCAAAGATTTCGTTGCCTGCTCCAGAGAGAGGGGCGACGTCTCTCGGGGGGCGCGGGGGCCTTCCGAGAAGCCCCGCCGCCTTCCCATGCCCCTGACGCCCTGTTTTTCGGGACGTCGGCCCCCAGAGGCCTCGGCACTTTTCTTTTCGTGACCCGTTTTCCATCCTGGGTTGTGCTTCGGCGGCCCCGGGACCCAGCGAGGCCTCAGAGGCCGAAGACCAGCAGAACATCGTCCGTCGTGCTTCGTTCATGGCCCGAGGGGGGCTGGGCTCTGAGAAGCCCTGCCTCCGCCCACCGCCCCCCCCCCCCGGGGGCTCGCCGCCGAAAGGCGGGGACTGCGGGGGCGGGCCCCGGCGCGGAGGGGTGCTGCGGCGGCTCGGCCGCGGGGGCCAAGGTGGCCTCTGCCGCGCGGCCACCGCTCCACGGCCGCTCGGCGTGGCAGGGTGCTCCCCGCAGGCTTGAAACGGTTCCCTGTCCTCTGTGCGCGCCGTCGCCTTGCCTCCGTGCCGATCTGCTGGATCCCCCCAGTTGCTGAGGGCACAGTCCCAAGATTGCATCGGCGTGGGCTTGCCGATCTCAGGGGTAGGGATCAGTTCGGGGCTGGCCAGCTCAGGGGAGGAAGAGGTACCCGACGCCGACACCTTGTGGCCGGCGGGGAGTCTGAGGTGGCACTGCATTGGTTCTGGCGAGCAGGAGGGAGGGGGCATAGGTTCAAGGCTCTGGGTCAGGGAAGGTGACTTGCTTTTTTCGGCCTCAGGGGCATTTAGCGGGCTCCGCGGACCATCAGAACCGGATCCGAGGTGAAAAAATGCACCAGATGGACCTGGTGAGTGGTCCGGAGACCGACCTTGAGTGGATTTGCCCCCTTTTGACAGATTGTCTCGGAGCCCAACCAGCTTAGACCCCCTGGCCGCCCCGGATCCGAAGTGAAAAACTACACCACATGGACCCGGTGAGTGGTCTGGAGACCGATCTTGAGTGGATTTGCCCCTTCTTGACAGATTGTCTCGGAGCCCAACCAGCTTAGACCTCCTGGCCGCCCAAAGCGCAATCCTTGCCTCGCCTTTGAGTTCGGGGGCCTCCTGGGAGGCCCCACGCCGCCATCTTTGCCTCGTCGGCACGGCTGGATCCGCCGTGACACTTTGTTCCCAACGATGCCTGTCCAGGGAGTAGCGTTAAGTCGGGCCTGCCCCTCTACAGGAGGAATATTCAAAAATAGTCACAGAATCGTCAGGGGACGATTTTTGGGGTATGTTGTTTGCCATTCTGTTTTTCCCCATATTTTTATTGTTCGTCCAAAGTCCGCCTGTAGGGGGACATGCTCGACCTAAGAGTGGCGGTATCGGTCTGTCGTTGACTAGAGGTAAGAGTGACTTTTCGCCTGAGTGACCCTCGGCGCGGGCCCACTGGGGCCCCCTGATCGCCGAGCGCGAGGCGGCAGTGGCGTCGTCTGCGAGCCCGCGTGTGGCCCCCCCGCGGCCCCCAAAGAGCCACGCACCAGAGGTCACCACTCTGTCTCGGCTTCTCAGGTGGGGTCGGAGTAGATTTCAGTCGGGCCTGTCCCTCTACAGGGGTACTAGTCAAAAGCAGTCAAAAAATAGTATGTGGACGATTTGGTTTTACCGTTTTTGACAATTTTGATTATTTTGGGGGTATTTCTTGTTTGTCGTCCAAAATCCGCCTGTAGGGGGGCACGCCCGACCTAAGAGTAGATGGGATCGGAGGATCGCGCCGCATCGCCGATGCATCGGCGATGCGGCGCGATGTGGGGCCCAACTTTCTCCACGCCATAGCCGCCGATGCATCGCCGACGTCACCAGTGCATGGCCGATGATGCATCGCCGATGCGTCTGCGGTGGCATCGCCGATCTGTCGGCGATGCGGCGCGATGCTTCGACCCCACCTGCTTCGACCCCACCTGGGAGGCCTATACACATGGTTCATTTCTAATTTTTCGAGAGTTCTTGGAGTTTTGGGGGGGCCAGGATCCTTCCGTTCCTAACTGTTCTGTCCTGGGCCTCTTCCTGGCCACTAGGGGGCCAGGAAGAATCAGGAACGAGCACAAGTAGAAACCAGCACGCCCAGAAATGAGCGACGTGTGCTCCTGCGCGTGGCCGATGTTGGCTTCCCCAGGTACGGAGCCCCTCGTCGTGAGCCAGGTGTGAGCGGCCGCCCCTCCGGGCGCTCGCGGGACGCCGTGCCCCGCGGTCGGCTGCCTCTCCCAGGGCCCGGTTCGTGGCAGGTAGGCTGCGGGCGGGCAGCGGCAGAGCCATTTCCAGAGGGGAGGAGGAGGAGATGGAGGAGGTGGAGGAGGAGGAGGAGGAGGAGGAGGAGGAGGAGGAGGGAGTGGTGTGAGGGGTGGGTCTTGGCGGTGACTGGTCGAGTAGGTGGTCGACTGCAGGGTGGATCTACCCCGGAAGTGATTTGCCCGCGTCGAATCTGCGAGACGTACGCGGAGCGCCTCGTAGATCTACGGAGCGCTCTGCGTGTTGTTGACTGACTCGACGGAACAAAGAACAGTTCTGGGGTCAGTCGATGTTGTAGTCGATCCCCTATTCGAGCTAGGGGGGGGCTGCAGACTACGTTTGGGACGCAGCTCCACAGGTCGCGTAGGTCTCGCTTGGGAGCGCGGTACAGTGCAGAACTCCAGCTCCACAGGCCAGCGAGTAACTGGCCGCCGATGCGGCAGCATGCCCGTTTGGCATGCCAGCTCTTGCTGCTACTTTTAGTTTAGCTCGCTCCTCCCAGGCATGCTGAACTTGCTCCCCTTTCCGAGCGCTTGTCGAGTATGTGAACTTGTGGTCTGCGGCGCCAATCGTACAGGTGCGCTCGCACACAGTTTCCCATCCAGCAGATCTGCGTGTGCAACTGCTGTAGAACTTGACACCAGGCCCCTGCGGTAGCGTCAGGATGACCCTCCTCCCTGAAAACCACGGGTGCGTTTCCAGGGGCTGTCAGGCAGGGACTGTTCACGCAGGCTTAGCTTCGTTTTCCGCTGGCCCCGATCTCTCACAGTTCCCCAATTCTGCCCCCTCGTCACCCGCCCTCCCCATCTTCCCTAGTTAATCATCCCGTTGTCTCTCCTCCTCCTCCTCGAAATCGATGTCCTTCTTTTCTCCCTCATATGTCTCTCCTCTCGCCCTGCTCCCCCCCACATTCCTCCCTAAAATGTCATAGGTCGTAACGCAGTTAGGTCAGCACCTATAGTTCCACCCTCCAGTCTCCGACTTCTCACTAGTTATCGCCCTCCAGGCACCACCAGCTCAGAATTCCGACTCCCAGTTTCTAGCATCCGACCTCAGATTCCCATTTCCATTTATCGGCATCAAATGACCACCATCTCAACACTCCGACCTCCAGCCTCCATCATCCGACCTCCCACCTCCACCCATCAACCTCCAGCCACCACTAGCTCAACACAACAACGACCTCCAGCCTCCAGCATCCGACTTCCCACTTCCACCTCCACCTACTGACCTTCAACTTCCACCAGCTCAGCACCCCAACCTCCAGTCTCGAGCATCTGATTCTGTCGATGACAACCGCCATGTTGGGAAATTTATGGACATGGGCAATGTTACCACTGTCAGGAGCTGTTCGGCAACGGTATGTCCTACAGCACAGGTTTTTCTTTCGATTTCTGCTACGCACATCGATTCTTTCACACCGGGTTTCTAGCCTGCACGTCTCTCCCTTTGGCCCAAACATCCCGACCAATTCAGGCCCGCAGTTTTGACAGTTATCGCACGAGTCTGGGCAAAGTTACCCTCGTGCAGCACACCGTGGATATACCAGTACCTTGCTCATCATAGCTTGGCCCTGCTTTTGATGGAAAAGCACCGGGGCCACCTACGTACGCAAGCTCTTCTACGGTCAGTGCCAGCTCAGAGCCCCTACGTGGGCATGCCAAGCTACATCGACCAAGTCGTCATTATTGTCCTTTCTCCGCTACTTCGGTTTCTTCGACTCCATGCCAGCCTTCTGACCTCCAGTGTCCAGCATCCGATGTCCCACTTCCACCTTCGCCTAGCGACTAGCAGCCTCCACCAGGCGAGCACTCGTGGCTCAAGAGACGGGGGTCAATGCAAACGGAAGTCAGTCAGAGCGCCAGATCTTGCAGGATCCTGTAGAGCCAGGGTTGCATTGAGCCGGGTTTGGCTGCAGGATTTTGCAGGATCTTGCAAAGTCTGACTGACCCGGGTCTGCATTGACCTGGTTCAGTAGATCCCGTTTTCCGACCTTGGATCTCCAGCATCCGATTTTCCACAGAAAGCTCCACCGACGGACCTCCGACCTCACTCTCTGATCACTCCGACCGTCGACCTACACCCGCTGGCTTCTCATGGCCACCTGCATCCGTCGACCTCCGGCCTCCACCCCATCCAGCATTCCGACCTCGAAGCTCTTGCAGCCGAATGTCCGTTTCTATCTCAACCCATCGACGCCCAGGATTCACCAGATCAGGACTCCGACCGCCAGCCCTTGGCATCCGACTCTGCACTTCCACCTCCACCTGTCGACCTCCAGCCTCCGCCCTCCGATCCCCAGCATCTATTGCAAACTATCGACCTGCACCTGCACCTCCCATTACCTCCAGCATCAGCTACGACCTCCACCTCCAACACTCCGACCTCCAACTTCCATCTGCATCAGACTGTAACAACCTACCTCTACCTATCGACATCCAGCTCCTCCCACCCGACCCCCAGCGTCCAATTCCAACTATCGACCTCCGCCTCCTGACACCTCTCTCGCTACAGCTATCGACATCCACTTCCAAGATTTTGACTCAACATAAAGCTCCAACATGGTGACCCAATATCTTGTACTCCAGGTTGCTGCATCGACCACCCGCTCACGCCATCCGACACGCAGCGTCCAACTCCAACTATCGACCTCCGCCTCCCTCCACCTCCATCTCATGCTGTCGACCTTCGCCTCCAAGGCTCCGACCTTCAGGTTCCAGCTGCATCAGACTGTGACAATCCACCTTTACAAATCCACCTCCAGCTCCCCCCATCCGCCCCCCAGCGTCCACATCCGACTTTCGACCGTGGCATCTCACTACCTCCAGCTCGAGCAATCTACCTCCGCCTCCAAAATTATGACCTCCAGCTCCGAGCAGCTTCAGACTTTCATTCTAAAGTTTCCCATATCGGCCACCTGTCTTACCACCCGACCACAGCGTCCAACGTCAACTACCAACCTCCACCTTACTCCACCTCCAGCTCCAGCTATCGACCTCCACCTTCAATGCTCTGTCCACCAGCATCCGGCAGCACCAGACTTTCACAACGTACCCCCACCTATCGACCTCGAGCTTCCGCCAACCTGGACACCTACGTCCGCCCTCGGACCTCCAGCTCCCACCCAGTGCAATCCAAGAATCAGTTCCCCTCCAGTGCAAGACTTCATGTCGATACGCACACCTACATGTACGGCGTCCATGCCCAGCTCTGGCAAGGAGAAGAAGCAACCACAGCAGCAGCCACCCCAACGTAGCACTTGGGGAGGACGAGGCCGACACAGCAGCGTCGAGGGCGACTTGCCGACATGGTTCGTAATCAACATTCTCGCCAACAACGGCCGACGACAGACAGGCTTCCAGAGATGACGACACCTGTATCAACTACGCGGCACACCGACACCGGCGATAAGACCATGAAGATAATGCGGGAGCCTTGAGACGGGGGTCAATGCAAACGGGGTCAGCCAGAGCGCAGCGCTGGATATTGCAGGATCCTGCAGGGCCAGAGGTGCATTGACCCTGGCTTGTGTGCAGGATCTTTTCAGGATCCTGCCAAGCCTGACAGAACTGGGTCTGCATTGACCCGGGTCAGAAGAAGCCCGAAACATAGACATCATATGCGATCGACGTTCTTATCCGAAACCTCATCGTCGTAGATTGGGACGTCGTGGTGCTAAATGCAGCATGGTGTTACGGAGCCTGGTGGACATGTTCGCAGTTTCTGGGCATGATAACCCGACAAGGGGTACCTCTTTTCTGGAGCACCAGAGACACGCACGACGCATCAAGAGATTTAAAAGCAGTGAACCAGCGGATTGCTTATATCGAGTCCGACCTTCCACAATGCCAGCTCTGGATCTCAACGGCGTATTTCCTTCATGGAGGCTATGGAGACCAACAGATCCAGTGCCTTTGCTCTATGATTACTAGATTCCACGCCCACGCCAACACGAAAAAAAACATCCATACTATTTACTGGTGATTTTAACGTGAGGGTGGGCGGACCGTGCGACGACGACTATCACGACAGGGGCCACGACATATAGAGAGACGATTCTCTGGAAATTCGGGCGAGCCGGGTGTAATCAACGAGGCGAATGCAATCTTATGTTCACGAACGCCATGTTTATCCAGCACCCGCATACATGTTTTCACATACACGCACGCTGGTTCCAAGCATTCACAATCTCAGATCGACTACATCCTGGAATCCTGATGGATCAGAGTGCCCGATGCTTGATGCGGTTGCTTCGACATGCCCCGACCTAGGATCCGACCACCAGGTTGCGCACCTCCGACTGGCAATGGACGGCGGCGAGCACCGACCACGCCGACGGAAGAGACGACGACGCCAGCACGCACGCCAACAACGTCCTCGGCCTAACGACGCAGATTTCCAGCATTGCTTGAGGAAGCACCTAACCAGCGACGATCCACCATGCGACCGACGCCTGCACACGCACCGAAAAAGAGATACCAGCAACACATAAAGACCTCCACGAACAGCAATAACGCCGACACCAGTTGCCAAGCAACGGTGGCAACGACGACGATAACGGAGCCACCCGAATCCGACGAAACTTCATCAAGCAGTGCAGAAACACCTCACTCCGGTACGAACACCAGGAGAGCCCTCGGCAAACGCAGCGAACAGCAATAACGAGACCGATTGGCAGGACATCGCAGATGTTTTCACTGATTTCTACGAGCGGGCGTACCGACATCGTGCAGCAATGACTGGAAACGATGACGAGCAGGCGTCCGGCGCGCGAGATCACCGCACAAACCGCGCCGACCACGAGATCCCACCTTTTCTGATGGACGAAGTGCACCGTTCAGTGATGCAAGTCAAATGCGGCAGATGCAGGGACGCAGCCGGCATCGCATCATAATTGTTCAAAGTTGGAGGAGGCGTCATCCAGCAACATGTGTTGACCGAGCAGCAGCCCTCTGAGCAGTGGAGACGAACCATAATCATTGTCATATTCAAATCTGGAGACCGAAGCTCCCTGAAAGCGGCAGACCCATAGCCATGAAGCCACTACTACACACATTGATGTCCCGATTCTTGTGCAACGGACTGGAGGCGAACCTAGAGTCTCAACAAACGCTTGTCCAAGCTGGTTTCCACAATGCGTCCTGCACGGAAAACCATATGTGCACCGCAACCTCATTGCACGAACAGTCCTACGAGTTGCAGCTCCCACCATGGTCCGCCGCGATCGATTGTAAAAAGGCCTTCGAGAGCGTCGACCACGAACATCTCTAAAGAGCACCCTGAATACAGAACGTACACAGCCATGATTGCTTCATTCAAAAAGTTCTATTTCGAGCAGGTCGCCATCGTGAGGTGAGGACTGGCGCCAGCAGCAGAGAAGTCAACATACAACACGGAGCGAACCAAGGTGATCCACAGTTCCTACCTTTTTGGCAATGTGTTCGTGTACGTGTTCTGGGAGGTCTTGGGAAGGCAGGGGGTTTTGTATACAAGCTTGCTCTTCTCACCAGTCTGCGTTTTGCCGGCGACGTGCTTTCCTTCGCACCGAAGTTACGACAAGTGAAAGTCATTCTCCGGGACTTCGAGAAAGATTCATCTATGTGCGGGCTTACGTACGCTACATCTTGACAACACCTAAATTCTCACCAACGTCAGCCCACGACAGGGACGGACCATCACGCACACCGACGTAGACGGCGTCAACATGTAAAGTCTCAATGTGGACCAGACCAGTCAGCCTGTTTGGTGCACGCTCACATTCCACGTTTCCACCAGGCAGAGCTCTCCAATCGATTCGCATGTGGACGGTGCCGTTTCATCCAGCTCCGCAACGAACTCACAAGCAAGAGGTACCCACTTCACAGCAGGCCCTTGCTGTTCAGCGGAACAGCAACGCCTGCTGATATGTGCGGTTGCTCTTCCTGGACGCTCACCCAAGAAATTCTTCACACATTACGGTGCCCTCAACGGTGGCGTTTACGACGTATCGTGAACACCCCGAGGCATCGAATCAGATACAGGAGCACCGCAACCGAAAACGTGAAATTTCGACGACGGAAGCAAACCGACACCAATTCAGACGACCCCGCACAGCGGCAAGATCTTCATGATGGCGACGACGACGACGACTTTGCACCGTGGGGAGAGTGGTTACGCAGAGCTACGCACATAGCAGCAGACACTGCGTCACCGCTCAGCATGGATGAGTGGACGACGATATACCCTATACGCAAGTAGCGGTGTTCCCGACGAGTAGCCGCACTCCCGTACGACAGTTGGGCACGGCTCACTGCGTCATAAGTAGGTACCAGACATCCACGACCGCCGGCGAGAGTCTCGCAGGCAAAGAGGCCAGCGGAAAAGGTGTAAGTATGATTTTATAGGGATTCTGAACATGACAGCGTCTTCATGGATTCAACACGACAGCACGACATGGAGCAATTTGGAGGCAGCGATTCTACAGCTTTCACAGTTCACAGCGCCACGCCACGGGTCGAGAACATCCATCTCTACACATGAGAGCTCTGGCCCGCCAGCGCCAACCTTCCAGGCCCCGCGGTCTGGCGGACGGTGGTGCGCTTTGCTCTGCTGTGCTCCCCTAGCCTTCCTTCTTTTCACAAGCCTCCCTTCTCACGCCTCCGTCCTTCATACCTGATATCCCCCGACCTCATCCCCGCTGCCTTCCTGCTCCGCGAGGATTTCGTCCCTCCTCCCACTCCTTTCTATTTATTCCCTACTTCCCATCCAGCCCACTTCTGCCTTCTCTCCCCGCTCTCACTTTCTTTCTCCTCCTCCTTTCTCTCTCCCCCCACTCTCTGCCCGCATCTCCCCCCTCCTTTTGCCCTGCTCCCTCCTCCATCCGCACACGACGGCTCTTTCGGCCAGACGCCGGCCGTGCCGAGCCAGGCCGGGCCCGCGGCCAGGCGGCGTGCCCGCTGGGGTTTTGGGCCCTCCCGTTCCTCCTCCTCCCGAGCGGTGCTCTTCCTGCTCCCGCCTCCACCCATCTCCACCCCTTCCTCCCTCGTCCACTCCCCGCTCCCTCCCTTCATTCTCCTTTGCTCACCCCTTTCTCTGCTCCCCAGGAGGGCCTCATCCACGGAGACCCCCACCCCGGGAACATCTTCGTCGAGCGAAAGAGGGACGACCCCTCGCAGCTGCGGCCCGTGCTCCTCGACTGGGGCCTGGTCAGGCGGGCCGGGGCCGCTGGTCACCCCTCCCAGGCCTCTACCCCTCGCTTCCTCCTCGTCTTCCTCCGTGTCCTCCTCCTCCTCCTCCTCCTCCTGCTCCTCCTCCTCCTCCTGTTCCTCCTCCTGCTCTTCTTCCTCCTCCGCCTCCTCCTCCTACTTCTCCTCCTCCTCCGCCTCCTCCTCCTCCTACCAAGGATGTCCATCTGGGCTTATAATCCAGCTGAGTCCCAGGCTTAATTACTCCATCCTAGTCCGCCTCCGTGGCCCGCTAATCGGGTTTAGTAGCCATTAGCCGCTCTGGCGAAGACCTGCAGCGCCAATCGGGATTAGTAGACCTCATCAGCCCTTAATCCAGCTGCCTACGGCAAGTCCCGCCACCGTGCTTTGTATGTGGGTGTGAAGCCTATTGAATGTTCGTGAGGATCTCGTGGAAGGCCTCTCGGGGGCGTCTTGGAGACAGTTTCGAAGTTTTGGGGGGCCGTGCTGGGCACCCTGGAGCCTCTTTTGGGCCTCTTGGGGTCCCCTTGGGGCCTCTTCGGGGCCTCTTGGGGGCCGCTTGGGAGCCTCGTGGGCGCCTCTTGAGCCTCTTGGGGCGGAAGGCTCGGATTTTCGATTCGGGTTCCCTCTCCTGGGCCCCTTTTGGGGCCGTCTTGGGGCCCTTTTTGGCAGTCTGGGGCGCCTTTTGGGGCGCTCTTAGGCCGTCTTGGGGCCCTCGTGGAGGCCTATTTGGCAGTTTTGGGGTGGTCTTGGGGGCCTCGTCAGCCGTATTGGAGCGTTGGTTTGCCGAAAAGGCGAGAACACCAAACTCCACCAACAACCTGAACACATCAATGATGTTTGCCTCTTGGGTGGTCTCTTGGAGGCCTCTTGGGGCGTCTTGGAGGCCCCTTGGGCCATCTGGAGGCCATCCTGGGCGTCTTCGAGCGATCGTTCGGCGTCTCCGGGCCCTCTTGGACCGTCGCGGGGGCTTCCTGGGCCGTCGTGGAAGCCTTGGAGAGCCCCGGGGAGGCGCCATGGCTGCCCCAGCCTCGAGCTTGCTCGCTCGCTGGCTGGCCCCCTGCTCGAGGCGCTGCTTCCTGGCCGCCGCGGCAGCGAGCAGGCGAGGCACCTCGCCGCCTTGGGCTCGCTCGCTCGCTGGCTGTTGCGGGCCCGCCGGCGGCAGCCGAGGACTGCCAGGCTGCCGCGGTGGCGTGGACCGGCGCCAGGGGCTGCAGCTTCAGCTCTGGAGCACCGCCGCGTGCAGGCAGTCTGGGGCATTTGTCGCGACCCAGGAAGAAGAAACAGGGTCAACTGCGCGGACATTCGCGCGTACCTAAGCTGCCTGCGTGAGATGGCGCGCACGCGCCCTTGTTTTCAATGTAGATTGCCGCGCTGGCGGCCCGCGTAAGCCACCGCGTAAGGTTGACACGCCATCGTGCGCAGAGGCCTTTCTTTTCGTCGCTCAGACGGTGATCACAGCGGAGCCCAGATCACCGCCGATCTGCTTTTTCCCCATCTGTCAGTGTTCCTTCGATTTCGGCCTTGAGGTTCGTTTTCGCGCCCCGGAGCAATCAACAAATGAGCCGGGGCGAACAGTACCCCAGGAGAGGCGGATTGAACAATGCATATTGGCGGATGTCAGGGGGTGTAGTGGCCGTAAGTGTAGGTTGGGTGCGGCATTCGAACACGGGCGCGCGTCCAGGTCCGCACCGCGGGGAGGTCGCGGCCGGCCCTCGCAGAAGGGTCGGTTCCCTCAGCGCAGCGATTGTGGTTGTCGCTCCTGATCTCCTCCTTCTCTCGACCTGATACTGGTAGTGTGTCTCTGGATAGACCCAGAAGTCGTTGGGCCCTTAACGAGTTCTCTCTCTCTCTCTCTCTTCTATCCTGCTCGTTCTCCTCCTCCTCCTGTTTCTCCGCTCTCTCTCTCTCCTCCTTGTCCTCCTCCTCCTTCTCCTCCTCCTCCTCCTCCTGGTCCTCCTCCTTCTCCTCCTCCTCCTCCTCCTCCTCCTCCTCTATGTGTGTGTGTGTCTCGCTCTCTCTCGCTCTGTCTATCTCTTCTGTCTTCCTCATCCAGGCAGCTGAACGACGAGGAGAGGCTTGCCATGGCGCAGGAGCGTTCTCTCTCTCTCTCTCTCTTTCTCTCTCTCTTTCTCTCTCTCTTTTCCCACGTGTGCGCCCCGCACGCCGCGTGGCGCGCGCGTCGTGCCAGGGCCCGCGGGCTGCGGTGGCCTATCCACAGATCTGAACGGTGGCTCCGGATCGAGGTGGCTCGTGCTTCGAGGTCGCAGATCTCCGATCTGACCGTCTCCAGTCCTTGCGTGTTCCCTTCGATTTCGGCCTCTACTTGGATGACCGCTGGGGTTGCTGAGGGGACGGAACGGCTTCTGAGTGGAAGCAACGGTAGGTTGTATCTGGCCTAACCTAGCTTATGAGTGGGTAGCATGTGCCCGAAGAGGCGTATTGGGGGCAAAGATCTGGGCTAAGCGGGCGGAGCCCACTCAACTCAACGAATTTACCTACGCCTTCTCAACCACTCAGGGCAGTAGAAATTCACGTACCAGATATCACAATCTTCGTTCAACCCACCCTCGCATCCATCTATAACCCCCCCAATCCCCTTAGCAGCCACCTCGGTCAACAAAGTAGAGCCAGACATCGGGCCCTGGGACAAGCAGACATGCATCCGGGACGAAAAACCGGCCCCCAGAGAAGTGGTCGGGACCTTTGGGGTCGTGCATTGAACACATCACATCTTCGGACGTATGGGTCTAGGGGTTTTAGATCGGCGTTGCTGCAACATGGTCATACTACTATCTCTATGTGTGCGTCGCCCCCCACGGGGCGACGTGCGCGCCGAGAAAACTTAGAGTATAAGCTCATGGCGGGCGCTTTCTGGCCATACTGC